GGTCAGGAGTTTGAGACCCACCTGGCCAAAATGGTGAAACCCCATCTCTGCTAAAAAATCAAAACTTAGCCAGGTGTGATGGCACATGCCTGTAATCCCAGCTACTTGGGAGGCTGAGGCAGGAGAATCGCTCGAACCTGGGAGGCAGAGGTTGAAGTAGGCCGAAATCATGCCACTGCACTCTAGCCTGAGCAACAGAGTGAGACTCCGTCTCAAAAATAAATAAATAAATAAATAAATAAATGATCTTAATGTTGCAATGTTCAAAATTTAAAGTCAAAGCTAATTATTTTGTGTGTAACAGAAATCACTATTAGGTGTTCAAACACACACACATTTTTTATTGTTATAAACAAAAAGAAGATCGCAGGTGAGCCTAATCTCTGCACTAGCAAACAAACTAATTGTTTGCTTTCTTTTGTAGGCATTACAGTTTCTTTCTGAATTGCATAAATGAACAAGAAAGCTGGGTCCGGTTTCCCAGAGAGGGACCACTCAGGATGGAAATAGCCTCATGAGCACAGGAAATCTGTGAGCACTTGAATAAGGACAGGCACCTCCAGGGAAAGGATAATGTCTCTACCATGCTTGCTCATGTCTGGTCGCAGAACCAACACGGATATTCAAAAGCAGGGAGGTCAGGACAAAGTAAAATGTAACCACTTGTTTATAAAAGAAAAATCATACTACTTGTATATGTAATATATGCAAACCCAAAACAGCATGTCTAGGAATCCCAAGAATGAAAATCTGAATTTCCCTTTAACAATATCCATTATTTTACAAGAGAATCATTATTAACATCTTTCTCTCTCGTTAATAGGTAAAGTTCCACGACACGCAATCTGACATGTTAAGAAGTGTGTGATGTTAATAACCAGACTCTTCAGCAGCAGAAAGCAAGGAGTTCCATAAGAATATTACTCGGGGCGGGATTCAGTAGAATAATGTAAGTCCGAGAATCTTGGATTATATACATTGAAATGAGGTAGCATTTCTAGACGATCTGAAAACTAGTACTTTTATACCCCCAAAATAAAGAGGAGCACCATTCAAACATTTTTTCCATCTATCTATCCATCCAACATCCAGCACAAATAATTAAAAGAATATTTGTGAAAGCTTTCCTCATTCAAGTACCAATCAGTGTAAGCTACCTGTACTTCTGAACTACCGATCCCAGAATTGAAAGTAGCATGAGTGTAAACATATCTGCATCGGCAAAGGTTTGTATGCCCCCATCTCTAGGTCACACTTTTTCACTGTACGCTTGGCATTTAGAATATCAATGGATACGGGTATTTTCAAGAATGTAATGTGTCAGTTCCTACCTCCACATAGTCCTTGGCATGGCCCCAATCTCGTTTGGCATCCAGATTTCCCAAACTGAAACATTCCAGTTGTCCAAGGTAAATCTTAGCTACTGACCGGCTAATTTTTCGAGTAACGAAATTAGCTCCTAAAAAGAGGCAAAAGATGTATTATCAGTCAAGTGCATTTGACACATTTAACAGTTTGGTGAACCAAACCCAATTTCGGCCTCTGGGCATTTCTTTCATTCTGCACTCCCAGCCACCCTGTTAAAATAATAAAAGAAAAGAAAAAGAAAAAAGATCATTAACTGTCATTTAGACAAGTTAAGAAGCCCTAATTCTATGTGTCACATCAGCTCTACTTTCATAACAAATGTTTTTCTTTCAGGGACATCTTAACATTCCTAATTTGCTGCTTCAATATGCAGCCCAGGCATTAGGCCAAAGAAAAGCTGTTGGAATGCCAGTTTTTTTAACAGAAAATTCAAAAGGGTTGTATAAAGGGAAATGCCAGAATGGACGACAGACATCTAAGACCACCCTGATTTTTTTTAAGAACACAAACATCATATATTCCTATTAATAAAGCTACTTTGGGACTCATGGGGAGAGAAAGAAACATAGCTTAGTTCACAGGGTAACTAGTTAAAGGAAACAAGAAAGGAATTTATTTGGGCTGCCTTTCTCTTAACAAAATAAGTGGTGATGGCTCTTACTCAGAAACCTGCACAGCCATCCAAATGATATGATATGGCCCCCGGGCAAAAGTTTCTCTGTACTATACTTAAGGCAATGCCACTTTGCAACTTCATTTCAGTGTTATCTACAGAAAGGGCTCCTACATTTTGTGTAATATTTTGAAATGATTGGATGAAAGGGACCATATATTGATGAAAGTACTGAAATTGTTTTAATGTTCTCTGGTCTTTAATGAAAACTCTACCTGCTTTTAAAAGATCACAAAGTTAAAAGGCACTTCTGAGACAGTTTTGCCTTGTATCAAGGTAAGGTTATGAGAAAACACCATTTAATATCAAATTCTCAAGGTAATAATACACATATTAGCAGTTAATAATGGATTCATACAGTTTAGATACATGAATATCATAATTTATCACATACCAATGACTTTATGTTCTTTTGCAGATGAAGCAGGGAGGCAAATATTACGATCAAAGTGTATGGCTTCTGGAGAACAGGCACACGGATAAGGGCAATATTTCTAAATAGGTTTTCCAAATTTTGGCAAGAATATGGCTTAGCGCAAGTTCAAACATACACCAGATTCACTTACTCCACAAACTTGATACGTACATTTACAGCAACATTATTATCCTTAAGAAATACAATGGGACTACCGTGGAAATCCAGATTTTCAATTTCCCTTGTCAATTCAGATGGCATGTTAAAAAATACAAAGTTTCAACTTTCCACAGAGGTTTATAGAGCACAAAGAGGTCCTTCAAAAAAGTGCCTTTTGAAATGAAAACCTACTTATCAGTCAGTAAGTAATTAGTGGCTAATTATTAATTTAAAAAATTTTTCTATTGACTTGTAACAGTGAAATTTAAATGTAAATTTATAATTAAATTTAGGTTTTTTGATGTTTATAGTTATTTCAATGTCAGGACTATACTATTTTCTCAAAGTATACTAAGAAACCAATGATGTCAAATCATTAAATAAATTTTTCAACATAAAACATTTCAGATTAACCTATTTACCAGTAAACTAATGTTTGGGAGTCCAGTGGAAGCATTTGACCCTATTCATACAATTTATTGATTCTCTCAGCCATTGTTCACTATGCACCCACCAATCACTGAGCACTGAGCTAAGCACTGGGGATCTGGGAGTGAAGCCGCAGCTCCTGCTCTCAGGTATCACAGAGAGGGTCAGATGGGCCAACAAACCAGTGCTGAACCTAGTAAAATGACAGGTCTGCAAGGGGAGAAAGGCTTTGGGGTTGTAGCATGGCTGCCAGGCGCAGCATGTGAGAAATACCCCCCAGAAATGGAGCTTGAATGGAGTCTACCAGGGAGGTCATAAAGGGATTAATCAAGCCGTGAGACAGGGTGGTACTCCAGGCAGGAGGAACACCACTCGCAAAGATGAGGAAAGGTCTTTCTCCTCCAACTCTTACCACAACCTTATGCTGGTTATGGCCCCTCCTGAGGGCTATCACTGACAGCACTGTGCTAAGCTCTTTAGATGGGGTCACTCATTTAATTTTCCAAGCAACCCACGGGCTAAGAACTATTAGTACCCACATGAAGCTGAGATTCAGGGAAGCTATATAAATCAACTATTCTAAAACAGGATTCAAATCAAGAGCTATGTGACTACAAAGTTCTTATATTACCAGAACTTTAATGTCATGCTAGAAAGGTGGATCTTTTCTTATCTGGTTCCCAAAGTTATCTTGGATAACCAGTCAAAATTAACTATAATTTCTAGTTCTTAAAATGTAATTTTTGGCTTTGTTTTTTTGAGACAGAGACTCTCTCTGTCGCCCAGGCTGGAGTGCAGTGGCGCGATCTCGGCTCACTGCACCCTCCGCCTCCCAGGTTCAAGCAATTCTCTGTCTCAGCCTCCCGAATAGATGGGATTACAGGCACCTGCCACTATACCTAGCTACTTTTGTGTTTTCTTTTTCAGTAGAGGTGGGGCTTCACCATCTTGGCCAGGCTGGTCTTGAACTCCTGACCTCGTGATCTCCCTGTCTCAACCTCCCAAAGTGCTGGGATTACAGGCATGAGTCACCACACCTGGTCAAAATGTAATTTTAACGATTATTTAGAACAGCTATTTTGAGATACAATTCACATAGCATACAACTCATTCATTTAAAGCATATGCTTCAATGGCTTTTGTTACATTCATAGAAATGTACAACCATCACCACAATCAATTTTAGAACACTTTCATCATCCCAGAAAGAAACCCTGTATCATTTAGCAGTTTTCTCCTAGTACCCTAGCCCTGGCAAACAGATAATCTACCTTGTATCTCCAGATTTGCCTATTCTGGGCACTTTCGTATAAATGGAATTATATTAATGTCTGGTCTTTGTGCCTGGTTTCTTTTACTTAGCATAACATTTTCAAAGTTCACCCATATTGTGGTTTGAATCAGTACGTCGTTCATTTTTTACGGCCAAATTAATATTCTATTATATAAGTATACCAAATTTTATTTAACCGTCCATGAGATGAATATCTGTGGTGCCTCCATCCTTTGCCTTTTGTGAATAATGCAATGTTCATGTCTTTTCACAAACATATGTTTTAATTTCTTTTAGTTATATACTTAGCGGTGGAATTGCTGGGTCAGATGAGAACTGTTTTACCAATTGAGGAAATGTAGACTTTTCCAATGTGGCTGCACCACTTTACATTCCCACCAGCAGGGAAACAGGGCTCTGATTTCTTCCCATTCTCCCCAGTACTTGTTATGGTCTGCTAGACTGTGGTCATTCTAGTGGGCACTGAGTGGTACCTTACTGTGGTTTCGATGTGTACTTCTCCGATAACTAATGATATGAAGCAATTACCTTTTCATATGCCTACTGGCCACTTGTATATCTTTTTTGGAGACATGTCTATTCAAATCCTTTGCCCATTTTCAAATCGGATTACTCATCTTTTTATTATAGAGTTGTAAGAATTCTTTATACATTCTGGATCCAAGTCCCTTATCAGATATATAATTTGTAAATATTTTCTCATTCTGTAGGCTGACTTTTCACTTTCTTGACTGTGCTCTCTGAAGCACAAAAGCTTTTTTATCTTTTAATTTTGATGAAGTCCAATTTGTCTAGATTCGCTTGTGTAGCAGGTGCTTGTGGTGTCATATTCGAGAAGGCTTCACTAATCTAAGGTTATGGAGATTTATTCCTATACATTTTTATGAGTTTTAAAGTTTTTCTTCTTACATTTGAATTTTTGATCAATTTTTAGTAAATTTTTATCTTTGGTGTGATGAAAGGGTCTAACTTCATTCATTTGCATGTTGACATCCAGCTGTCTCAGTATTATTTGTTAGAAAGGTTATTTTTCTCATTCAATTGTCTTAGCACTTTCCTCAAAAATCAATTAATCAAAAATGTGGGAGATAATTTCTGACTTTCAATTCGATTTCATTGCTGTACTCTATGTCTGTCCTTATGCCAGTACCACACAGTCCTGGTTACTGTAGCTCTGTGGCAAGTTTACAAATTAGGAAGTATGAGTTCTCCAACTTTGTTTTTTTTTAAGGTTATTTTAGCTACTCTCTGTCCCTTGAATTTCCATATGAATTTTAGGATCAGCCTGTTGATTTTTGCAAAAACACCAACAGGGAATCTGAAAGGGATCATGTTGAATCTGTAGATCAAAATGGGGACTATTCCCATGAACATTATTGTGCCTTCCAATCCACGACTATAGGATGTTGTTCCCCTTTATTTTGGTCTTTAATATTTCTTTCAACAATGTGTAATAGTTTTCAGGGAATAATGTTTACACTTTGGCTAAATTCGTTCCTAAACACTTTATTCTTTTTTATTATAAATAGAATTGTTTTCTTGATTCTAAGAAAAAGTTTTTGATTAATTTTAAACATTTTTGTAACCATCTGTTTCGCTACTTAATTCTCAAGAAAGGCTTAAAATGATTTTTTTTTTTTTAATTTGCTCTCCTCATTTTTAGTCCATGTTACGGAAGACTGCTCTTTTAAGGAAAAAACTATATAAAAGCATAGAACATGAGGGCTGAGACTATCTAAGTGACAGATGAAGAAAAAGAAGTGCACAGAGACTGCACACCTTTCCTGAGTCCGCACAAGTAGTCGAGCCTGACCCAGGCCTGTCTCACTGGCTTTCTAGCCTTGTGCTGTTTCGCTAAGCCACAGTGCAATGCAGGAGGAATCCCTCCTGCGATGAGATGACCTAAGTGTGTGTGAATCATAGCACATGTGGTTAATGGAACTCCTATAATTAATTTAAATACATACTTGATTTATAAAAGCCTTAAACTATAAGATTCTAGGTAGAAAGAGGACTAAGAAAAGTTAGCTCAACGAATGGAGGGAGAGCCAGCTCTGTTAGTAACCAGCTGTGATATCTTAACACAAACCACTTAACGACTCTGAAGTCATAGTCTCCTCT